CCATAAGACAACCATCAAAAGCAGTAAATTAACAGATATATTCCTACGAACTACCACAGACCACGTTCAAGTTCCACCAATTGTCCCCAAAATGTCTTTTATAGCAAAAATATTTTACACAAGTTCACGTGTTGCATTTAGTTTGTCATGTGTCTTTAAATTCTTCAATTTGGAAAAATTTCCCCATCTTTCCTTGATATTCACGATCTTGACACTTTTGCAGACTAGTTATTTTGTAGTATGTCCTTCAATTTTGGTATTTCTGGTGTTTTCTTATTAGATATATATTTGCACTTTTGACTGTAACGTCACAGAAGTAATGCTGAGTTCTTACTGTTTCCTATCAGGTAATCTATGTTTTTTACTTCACCCATTTCTGATGATATTAACTGTGATCAGTTGATTAAAGTGGTGTTGGCCAGTTTCTCTAAAGTTACACATTTTTCCTTTATGATTGGTAAGTATTTTGTGAAGAGATACCTTGAGACTATATGAATATCCTGTTCTTCAAATGTTCACGCACTAGCTTTGAATCCATTGATATTTCCTGACTGCAGCTATTGTAGGTATCTCATGTAAGTCAAATCATACAATATTTATCCTTTGTGTCTAGCTTATTTCACTTAGCATGTTCTCAAGGTTCACTCATGTTGTATTATGCATTAGACTTTCATTCCTTTTATGGCTGAATAATATTCCTATATATATGTATATATACGTATATATACATATATATATATATATATATATATATATACCGCATTTTATTTATCCATTCATCTGTTGATGAACATTTGGCTATTATCAATAATGTTTCTTCAGTCTTGGATGAGTTTGAGGTTAAAAAAATGAATTGAAAAAAAAGAATAATGTTTCTATAAACACTGTTGTACAACTATCTGTTTGAGTCCCTGCTAGCAATTCTTTTTGGTATATACCCGGTTCATTTTTTTTCTGCCTACCTAGTATTTATATATTTATTTATTTTTTTAGAGACAGGGTCTCACTTTCTTACCCAGGCAGTGGCATGATGATAGCTCACTGTAACCTCCAACTCCTGGGCTCAAGCAATCCTCTTACTTTAGCCTCCTGAGTAGCTGGGACTACAGGCACATGCCACCATGCCCAACTCATTTTTGCATATTTAGTAGAGACAGGGTTTTGCCAGTTTGGTTAGGCTGGTCTCAAACTCCTAACTTCAGGTGACCTGCCTGCGTTGGCCTCCCAAAGTGCTGGGATTACAGGCATGGGTCACTGTGCCCAGACCTGGCTTTATTTATTCTTAAGTGAGCTTTGATAATTTTGTTTTTGAAGCAGTTAGTCCATTTTATCTGTGTTATTGAATTTACTGGCATAAAACTGTTTGTAATATTCTCCTACTACCATTTTGATGTCTTTAGAATCTGTAGTGATGTCACCTTTCTCATTCCTGATATTGGTCATTTCTGCCTTTTATCTCCTTTTTTTTTGATCAGTCTAGACAGAGATTTCAATTTCATCTTTTCTTTTCTTTTTTTGAGATAGAGTCTTGCTCTGTTGCCCAGGCTGGAGTGCAATGGTGTGATCTTGGCTCACTGCAACTTCTGATTCCTGGGTTCAAGCAATTCTCCCTGCCTCAGCTTCCTGAGTAGCTGGGATTACAGGCACCCGCCACCATGTGAGGCTAATTTATTTTTTTGAGACAGAGTCTGGCTCCATTGCCAGGATGGAGTACAGTGGCACCATCTCGGCTCACTGCAATCTCCACCTCCCGAGTTGAAGTGATTCTCCTGCCTCAGCCTCCTGAGTAGCTGGGACTATAGGCATGTACTACCACGCCCAGCTAATTTTTGTATTTTTTAGTAGAGATGGGGTTTTACCATGTTGGCCAGAATGGTCTCAATCTTTTGACCTTGTGATCTGCCCGTCTCGGCCTCCCAAAGTGCTGGGATTACAGGTGTGAGCCACTGCACCCAACCTAATTTTTGTATTTTTTAGTCGAGACGGGGTTTCACCATGTTGGCCAGCCTGGTCTTGAACTCTAGATCTCAAGCAATCTGCCTGCCTTGGCCTCCCAAAGTGCCGGGATTAAAGTGTGAGCCACTGCACCCGGCCTTAATTGATTTTTTCAAAGAACCAGCTTTTGGTTTCATTGATTATTCTCTATTTCATTGATTTTTTAAATTTTATTTATTTACTTATTTATTTATTTAGAGACGGAGTCTTACTCTGTTGGCCAGGCTGGAGTGCGGTGGTGTGATCTTGGCTCACCATAGCCTCCATCTCCTGTGTTCAGATGATTCTCATACCTCAGCCTCCCGAGTAGCTGGGATTATAGGCTTGTGCCACCATGCCCAGTTAATTTTTTGTGTGTTTTTATTAGAGATGGAGTTTTGCCATGTTGGCCAGGCTGATCTTAAACTCCTGGCTTCAACTGATCTACCTTACTTGGCCTCCCAAAGTGCTGGGATTACAGGCATGAGCCACTGCACTTGTCTGCTCTGATCTTTATTATTTCCTTTCTTATGCTTACCTTGGGTTTTCTTTTTCTGACTTTTTTTTTTTTT